CTCAGTCCTCTGCATGCTGGTGGCATTGCTGCTGCTGGTCCCTGATTGCTTATTCTTCAGAACCAAGAGTCTGCTCAGTTCGCAACTAACCTCTGCTGGAGGCCGTTCCATGATCTTTCATCTGTGAATAGTGATAGTGGACTCGTGTAACATCCAACTTATTATCTCCTTCCTCGCCGCCCTGGATGAGGAGCGGAGGAGTATGAATCCAGCGCAGCGCGAGCCTGCACCTAGGCGGGCAAACAAAACCCTCACTTTGTCCATGCGCATGCGCTGCACGCCCGAAGATGTAAGTACCTACAAAGTGCCCTCAACAGAAGCATTTGTTGGCTGTTTTATAAACCTCTATGTGCAAATAGAAACAATCTGCAGGAAGTACAGGCTATTCAAATGACCTTTCTTTCTAGCTAGTTTCTCATTGTTGGAAGGTAGGATAGTGGTGTGCGCCGAGATTATTCACACAAAAACCCTACCGGAGCAAGTCCCAATGTGCCTATTTTCAATGCTCGACTATATGTGGATCGACTTTGCGTGAACGGGTCTGCCGCAGAGGGGTCTGGTCAATGATCGAGCTCAGAATCTGATCGCTACATGTCAGCTGCCGACGATAGCCAACTTAAGGGAAATAGGCAGCCAAGAAAGAGGGTTGTGTGCAAGCTAAGTAGGCATTAGCGCAGGGCAAGAGGTGTGTACTTACTGGATATTGCTGGAATGGAGCGTGGACTTTAGGTCGCGCAGTGAATCCTGGATACTCGAACAGTCCGGTGTCTTGCCTTCCTGCTCGCTCAGAGATCGAATTTGCACCAGCAGACCGGTCAATTTCGTGATAAGATCCATGTTTTTGGTGTTGCGCAGTCTCTGCACCTGGATGCTCTTCACACGATTGACTATGTCATAGGCATCCTCGTCGCAGCGCTGCTTGAAGTCACAGGGCTGCTCCAGTGGCGACACGCCATGCTCCTGGGCGATCTAATCAACAGAAGGAGCTTCAGGGACAAAACGACGAATCCTACCTCGTTGGCATACTGGAGCACATGAACGAGATACTGGTTCAGTTCTTTGTTCAAGCGTTCTAAGTGCACAATCACAGTGAGGTAGTTGTGCTGGAATTCCATGGTGATTTCTGATTGATTAGAAATCTAAAAAGGACAGAATTAGGGAAAAAAGAAAACGGCTATTACCCTGCGCTCAGCCTCGGAGTTGAGATCCTGCAGTTCGTCTACACATCGTTTCTTCACTTCCAGAATCTTTGACAACTTTGTCTAAGGACAAAAGAACAACAAGAATAGTGTTATGTTTGATTACGAAGAGGGCTGTTAATGAGAACAAAAAAAGAGTGATAGAGTGATAGTCTACGTACAACCATCACGAGAAACTTCATTGGATAGCCACCGTAGATGTCAGACTCGTTTAGAAGGAGGCGACCACCGTTGCTGGAGGGATCATTCAGCGAGAGGGCAGCTGCACCCATTCCTCCGGTCATTTCATTAATCGAAGGTGTCTTCAGAGGGGTGGAGAGCACAGAGGAGCTACCCCCCATACTACCTCCCGACATCGATTGGCCCTCTATGGACTGGCAGAGCGGACAGTCATTCACGCCAAAGTCACCTGCGGCCCCACCGACGGCGTGGGCGAGCTTGTGATGATGCATGTGTCGTTTACCCTGGTATAAGAGAAAGCGCATTAGCATAAGAAGGCCCCTGAGGAAACGACTATACACCTACCACAAACGTGAACCCGCTAGCTAACCTGCAGTGCGGATTGGGCCAACAATCGCGCGGGACTCATGAAGAGGTTGCGGCTGGCCTTGTGCTGAGTCTTGTATGCAGACAGTGGAATTGTTTCTTGTGGGCAGATGCTGAGCACCTCATAGTCCGGAATGGAGCGTGTGCCAAGAGCAGGCTTGTCAAAAGTGACGCGATAACAATGACGGAGAGAGTCAATAGCATCCACTTTGCCGGGATAGAGTCCATCGGTGGGGTAACGCACTCTAGAAAAATAAAAACTTTTGGCTTAGGGTCAGTTTGCATTTACCATGTCATAATGGGCAGAAAAACGTACTGCTTGGCCTCAAACGACAGAATCTTAGCCGATATGCAGATAATTGGACTGTAATCCAACAACGGTTTTGGGCCCACTAGCAGGGGTTTGTTAGCTCTCTAGATAACGGCCAGTTTCACTGAAAAGAAAACACACTAGTATCTTATTTACAGCTCTCAGTGTCAGTCGTTATACTCAGACGTAGAGTGGTTTCTTTTAAGAGATAGCACTTGAGTCGGAATTCCCTTGTGTTCGATATGACCAAATGAGGGACATTATCGAGACCGGCGCATTACCGGTCAGGTTAAAAAAAAAAATGCATTTCTAGTA